GGGGAGATGGAGACCATCCTGGCTAACACGGTGAAACCCCGCCTCTACTGCAAATACAAAAACAGCCGGGCGTTGTGACGGGCACCTGTAGTCTGAGCTACTCCGGAGGCTGAGGCAGGAGAATGGCGTGAACCCAGGAGGCGGAGCTTGCAGTGAGCCGAGATCGCGCCACTGCACTCCAGCCTCAGTGACAGAGCGAGACTTCGTCTCAAACAAACAAACAAAACAAAAAAATGAAAAAAACAACCAAAAAAACTTATTTTATTTTCATAGAAATGCAATAGTATTGCTTGGTTTTGTTACCAAGATTACACTTTTGAATCGTCGTTAGTAGACAGAAAATTTTTCATTACGTTGCTCAGCAGCTGTGCTTTATTTCATTTCTTATCATTGGATTATTTTTGCATTTGTGAAAAGAGCCAGGTATACATTAGTATACACTAAGGTATTCTCATTCTGAGAAGACATATTGCACAAGAGAAAATAAGAGCAATTTAAATACACGTGCTTCACGAAAAATGCCAAATACCTCTTGTACCTAATAACCGTAAGGATTTAAATAGAATGTTGCTGCTGGGCATGGTGGCTCACACCTATAATCTCATGGCTTTAGGAGCCTGGGGCAGGCAAAGGCTTGAGGCTGGGAGTTCAAGACAAGCTTGGGCAACATAGCAAACCTCGACTCTACAAAAAATAAGAAAAAATTAACCAGGCATGGTGGCACACCCCTATAGTCCTCGCTACTTCACAGGCTGACATGGGAGGATCACTCGAGCCTGAGAGTTCAAGACTGCAGTGAGCTATGATTGTGTTAGTGCAGTGATCACCAACCTTTTTGACACCAGGGACCCATTTCATGGAAGATAATTTTTCCACGGAGGTGGGGCCAGGGGCAGAGGTTTTGGGATGATTCAAGTGCATTACATTTATTGTGCACTTTATTTTTATTACTATTACATTGTAATATGTAATAAAGTAACTATACAACTCGTCATAATAAAGAATCAGAGGTAGCCCTGAGCTTGTTTTCCTAAAACTAGACGGTCCCATCTGGGAGTGAGGGGGGACAGTGACAGATCATCAAGCATCAGATTCTCATAAGGAAAGCACAACCTACATCCCTCACATGTACAGTTGACAAGAGGGTTTGCAGTCCTATAACAATCTAATCTCATTGCTGATCTGACAGGACTCAGAGCTCAGGTGGTAATACTAGCAATGAGGAGTGGCTGAAAATACAGATGAAGCTTCACTTGCTGTCCTGCCGCTCACCTCCTGCCGTGAAGTCAGGTTCTTATTGGCCCATGGCCCAGGGGTTGGGGTCCCCTGGGTTAGTGCACTCTAGTTCAGGTAACACAGACAGATGGATATCCAAAACCAACAAATAAAATTTCACTAGGGAAAAATACTAAATAGAAAGTTGCTACCAAAATCTTTAAACTACAGGGTTTATATTTGCCTTCTTAAGGAAAAAGAAAAACCCAAAAAACTATACATTACAATTATTTATATCACTGTCGTTATTATTATATTAGAAAAGGTTTTAAAGACAGGAAAAAGAAATCACCCCCAATCCCACCAATAAGCCTAGTTGCCTTTCCTTCGGACTCACTGTAGGAGAAGCCAGCTGCCACATCACGAGGACATATTCATTCCTTGCCACTTAATAGACAAAGAAGTGAACAATTCAGAAATAGCTAACAGATACAGCTCAACAAATCTGTAACAACTATCAGCCCCAGATATTGGGAACCAATTGTGTGATTTATTTCAAATATACAAGGTACTATGGATAGGCCAGACACAAAAGAACAAAACAAAATAAAACTGTACTGTTTGAGAAATATATAACTAGCAGGGAAAGGTGGAGAGCAAGAAAATTATTACCACAAAGCCAGGATGGGAGATTTATAACTGTGGCTTCTGAGAATCCAGTTGATTTTCTTTTGTTTTTTTTCTTTTGTTTTTTTTCGTAAAGCGATGTGGGGTCTTGCTATGCTGCTCAGGCTGGAGTGCAGTGGCTGGCTATGGATTCACAGGAGCCACCATAGTACACTGTGACCTTGATCTCCTGGCCTCAACCTCTCGAGGTGATAAAAGACACTATAGTTTCCTCCTTGCTCTCTTTTGATCCACTCACTCTGGGGGAAACCAAGCTGCTGTGTTATGAAAACATTTAAGATGAGGAGGAACTGAGGCCTCCAGCCAACAGCCATCAAAGAGTTAAGGTCTCCTGTAAGAGAGCTTGGAATTGGGTCCTCTAGCTGCACCACCCTCCCCCCGTCAAGTTTTCAGATGATTGCATCCTCACAGGAGCCTATGCCAGAGGCACCACTTGGATTCCTAACCCACTAAAAATGAAGAGATGATACCTGTTTACTATTCAAAGATGCTGAACAGTGACAGATGAAGAATACAGGTTTTATCAGTTAATTCCTTAAATACTATATATAAAACATAAGCCAGATAACACATCTCTATCTAAAATACTTATAAGTTTTCATGTTACTCATGGGCTAAAACCGTAGCTCCTCACTATGGCCTACAAAATCATTCACTTTTTTACCCCCACCCAGTTCTATTAACTATCTCCTTAATTTCGTTTTTCGTTTTTGGTTTTTTGTTTTTTTTTGAGACGGAGTCTCGCTGTGTCGCCCAGGCTGGAGTGCAGTGGCCGGATCTCAGCTTACTGCAAGCTATGCCTCCCGGGTTTACACCATTCTCCTGCCTCAGCCTCCCAAGTAGCTGGGACTACAGGCGCCCGCCACCTCGCCCAGCTAGTTTTTTGTATTTTTTTAGTAGAGACGGGGTTTCACCATGTTAGCCAGGATGGTCTCAATCTCCTGACCTCGTGATCCGCCCATCTTGACCTCCCAAAGTGCTGGGATTACAGGCTTGAGACACCGCGCCCGGCCTATTTTGGGTTTTTTTTTTTGAGACAGAGTCTTACTCTGTCGCCCAGGCTGGAGTGCAGTGGCTTGACCTAGGCTCACTGCAACCTCCACCTCCTGGTTTCAAGCGATTCTCCTGCCTCAGCCTCCAGAGTATCTGGGACTACAGGCTCGCGCCACCACATCCAGCTATTTTTTTTATTTCGAGTAGACACGAAATAGTTTTACCATGTTAGCCAGGATGGGCTCGATCTCCTGACCTCTGGTGATCTGCCCCCCTCGGCCTCCCAAAGTGCTGGGATTACAGGTGTGAGCCACTGCGCCCAGCCTATCCCCTTAATTTCAAATGACTCTGCTTAGATTTTTTTAATGTACTCTTATTTCTTAACCCAAGACCTTTGTTCGTGCTGTTTTCTCTGCTTAGGAGTGCTACTCCCTGCATATCCTCTGCGTACTTAGCTCCTTTTTGTCACTCCTTTCTCAGCTTAAATGTTACCTTCCCTGAAACGCATTCCCTGACAACCCACGCTTTTTTTTTTTTGGAGAGTTTTGCTCTTGTTGCCCAGGCTAGAGTGCATTGGCCTGATCTTGGCTCGCTGCAACCTCTGCCTCCCGGGTTCAAGCGATTCTCCTGCCTCAGCCTCCCAAGTAGCTGGGACTACAGGTGCCCACCACCATGCCCAGCTATTTTATGTATTTTTAGTAGAGACAGGGTTTCACCATGTTGGCCAGGCTGGTCTCGAACTCCTAACCTCTGGTGATCTGGCCGCCTCAGCCTCCCAAAATGCTGGGATTACAGGCGTGAGCCACCGTTCCGGCCAACAACCCACACTTAATGGGAAAACTCTGGAAATATCCCCATGGGAAGAGAGAAACAAAGTAAGGAGACCATCATTACTAAAGCAATATAAAATTAGAGTTAGTCTGTTGGACTAACTATATTAGAGGATACACAAGAGAAATATGTACAAAAACAAGAAACATGTAAATTCTACCTTAAATAAATTCTATCCTAAAACAGTCCTCAAGGACAAAAGAAGACATACGCAAATGGAAAGATGCAATATGTGGAATAGGAAGACTGAACATGAAAATATATGTAAATTCTCCAAATTCTATTAATATGATTCCAATAAAAATACCAATAGGATTTTATTCTTGTAATGAAACATGGTGTTTATACATTAATATGATAAAATAAACCAGAATGGTCAGACCACTTTTGAAAAATTAAAAGGAATTAGCCTATTAGACATGGAAACATTATAAAATCTAAATAGAGCAATCTCATGCTGATTAAAGACAATAATTTAACACAATAGGGAATCTACACATATAAGCAAATACACATCAATAATGAAGAGATGTACAATTAAATGAGTGGTGTTGGATAACTGAGTAGCCATCTGGAGAAGTGTACATAGCTACCAATACTCTAAACCAGGATAAATATAAAATACTTCAATATAGAAAAATAAAATAAAATCATTAAAATACTACAAAAGGAAATGAGAGATTTATAACCTACAAGTGGTAAAGGTTTTTCTAATTAAGACACAATATCCTAAAGCTATAAAAGATGAAAAACTGATTACAGTTAAAAAAAAAAAAAACTAACTGGTAAAACCACAACAAACTGAGAAAATATATTTGCAACTTTCATCACAAATGACCAATTTTCTTGAAAATCTATCAAAAAATCTGGCCAAGCATAGTGGCTCACGCCTGTAACCCCAGCACTTTAGGGGACTGAGGCGGGAGGATCACTTGAGCTCAGATGTTTGAGACCAGCCTGGGCAATGTAGCAAGACCTCCTCTTCACTTAAAAAAAAAAAAAACAAAAAATTGCTGGGTTTGGTGGCAAGTGCCTATAGTCTTAACTACTTGGGAGACCAAGGTGGGAAGATTGCTTGAGCCTGGGAGATCAAGGCTGCAGTGAGGTGTGATTGCACCACTGCAGTCCAGCTGGGGCAACCAAGACTCTGTCTCAGAAATTAAATAAACAAATGAATAAATAAAATAAAGGTCACTCTGGCTATTGTAAAAGTATAAATATCAGCTCTGGAATAACAAGCTTCAAAAAAATATATATAAACAGGAAATACTTACCCACTTAGCAATTGGACACCCATGAGAGCTTTTCCCTTCTTTACCGGTGTACACTACTATTTCTATCCTTATTGCGTTTCCTTTTTCACCATACCTGAGTATAAAACACAGTGAAGGGAATGTACTAATTAATTGCAATCTGTACTTGAAGGCTTTGGCTTTGAAGATCTTAATGTATTTAAGATATAGACGTACAGAAGCTCAAAAATCAAACACTCCTCATAATTTACTTTTGTTAAACATTTGCTTTTGTGTGGCAGGTATTTTAATTTGTTAACCAGTCCTACTCACTTATCCTTAAAGATCACTCTTTAAAAAATAGGCTGACTGCAAGACAAGCAATGGGAATGTAGGGTATGCAGTGTCAAGGGTGGTAATTTGACCTATTTCTACCATTATACAATAATATAAAAAGTACTTCTGAATTTATCAAAGACAATTAGTCTTGTTTTGTGGGTGCTCTTTTATGTGCCCAACAGCTTGTATGATGGGTGGCTCAGTAGGGACATGAGGACACCCCTCTTTTGTTGGGCCCTAAGAAACATCCAACCCATACTCCTGAATGTTTTTCAATCACGGCGTTTGTTCTTAGAGATGATTTATCTCCATTGAGTCAGATTCACAGTAAAAATGATTTTAACAGGGAAGCGTATTTCCTCACCTATTCTCCATGATTTCCCTGACAGCAGCAACACTTGGTCCTGCCCCAAGGTGTGTATAATATGGGCCTTTGTCTTTTTGTATAACTCGATCTGTGGAAGGAATAAGATTATTAGACCCAAAGCTTTACAGAATTGCATAGGGGACAGGAGAAGCTATTTTTATACTTTTTGTTCCCCCTCAATTCAGAACCACGAATCTTGACAAGGTTTTGGTAAGACTTGATAATTAAAGTCAAGGACAATAGCCCATGGAATTTAACTTTTAATGTTCCTTTCTTCCTGCCCCTAACGAATTCTTTCTTCCTCTGAAAATCAGAGGAGAAAAAAAATATTTTAAGATGTGGGTCATATTTATACTCCTATCTCCTGCTTAAAAAAAATCTGTATTAATTGAGGTGTGATATTAAAAGTTATCCAAGAACAATGTTAAAGGTTGCCCTCAGAATCCTATTAAAAAATTGAGCAATTTCATTGCAGACAATTTTATTCAACTACACACTTGCACAATTACAAAAGAATGTTCCTTGTTACCAATATTTGTAATATCAAAAAGAGCAAAACACTCCTAACATCTGTCAATAACATGTGGTTTAAATAAATTATGGGATGTTTATATAGTGGAATACAATAAATCGATTGAAACAATAATATTTATAAAACATTTAAAAATCCATGATATCATTATATTAGAAAACCAAGTAGAAAGATTGTTTTAAATGTTTGTAAAAATGGAAACAAAATTAAAATCAATAATGTTCTTTTGTATAGAATGGGAGTATGGGAAGATGTTTGCATCATATTTCTGCACCACTTGAATTTTTGTGAGCATGAATTTTGTTTCTTAAAAAATGCTATTTTTAACTTGGCCCCTTAGACTCATGTGTAACAAGAATTACTGGGGAATTTCTGCATTTCATGAATTTCTAGCCATGAAATTCTACACCAAAAACAGCTGAGTCCACTGCAGGTACTTATTCAACTCTGAATGCCCAGCTGTCTATTCCTGTATGCTGTGACTAGTTATTTTGCATAAGGAAAGGGTCTTCAAACTAGACAATCATCCTTTTAGAACCATGCACATAGAAAAAGCAGTCTAGCTCAGGTATATAAACTTTAAAGGCTCGTATTTGTTGAACTACAGGCCTTATTTCCATTTGTAAGGATATTTAGAAAAGTGTTCTCTCCCCCAACCTTTTCCTTTTTTTTGAGATGGAGTCTCACTATGTCGCCCAGGCTAGAGTGCAGTGGCGCGATCTCGGCTCACTGCAAGCTCTGCCTCCCAGGTTCACACCATTCTCCTGCCTCAGCCTCCCGATTAGCTGGGACTACAGGCGCCCACCACCTTGCCCGGCTAACTTTTTGTATTTTTTAGTAGAGATGGGGTTTCACCGTGTTAGCCAGGATGGTCTCAATCTCCTGACCTCATGACCTGCCCGCCTCAGCCTCCCAAAGTGCTGGGATTACAGGCGTGAGCCACTGCACCCAGCCGAAAAGTGTTCTCTCTTATATAATTCACATTTATTAAGCACCAGAGTGTACGTTATAAGGATTGGTTTTGGAGTTGAGACTGCTGTCTCTGAGTCCCAGTTCAGTCACTGGACAGCTATGAAATTCTCTGTGCCTTGGTTTCTGCATTTGTATAATGGGGATAATAAGCCCTCCCTTTGAAGAGTTGCTGTGAACATTACAAGTCAAGGCAAGGCACAATATCAGACTTGTAGTAAGAGCTCCAGAATGGAAGCCATTATCATGATTATATTCTTCTCTCCTTAATTCAAGAACCTTGTTCTCCCAATTCAACTCCACTAGACAGCATGGTCACTCTTTCCAAATTGTGAGATTCTTCTCAGAACAGCCTATCCTTGGTAACTGGCACATGGTAGTTTGTCAAAACTGTGCGTTAGCTAGTGTGGTGGTTCACGCCTGTAATCCCAGCACTTTAGGAAGCTGAGGCACGAGGATCACTTGAGCCCAGGAGTTCAAGACCAGTCTGAGTAACAAAGTGAGACCCTATATCCACAAACAAACAAAACAAAAACCTAAAAAACATTATGTATTGAACAATGAGCAGAGAAATGGAAGGATATTATTTCAGAACAATGTGTACTTTGGAAAAACAAGAATTCAGTATTATTATTACTACACAACACTATTTTTTCTACTGTTGTTAAAAAATCAGTGTGATGTACTTATCCTTCCCATTGAACCACCCACTTCTAATAAAAACATCACCTTTGGTCAAGGCAAATCTTGAGTCTTTGTGATTTGGAGCCATATTTTAAGTAAGACTTCTAATAACTAAACCTATTTGGATGAGGTTCAAAACAGATTTTTTCACAAAAAATTTATTCTATCATAGTTGTACGGTAAACAAAATAATGGGGCTTCAAGCAGCCTAACGAACTTTAATGACACAATCTATTTAATTTCCCTATTTTTTACAGCTATATTAGAGTCAACAGGTTTCTTAGAAGAGTGCTTACCTGAAATTTGACCACACACAGTAACTAATCAGTACAGGATTCAAATTAAGCTTTCACATGTTTCAAATACTGAGGAAATTTCTCATAAGATCTGCCTGAGAATCTTTACCCAGCAAGATTTTCTCAGAGCTTTTAACACACTACTAAAACTAATTGGTTCAGAATGTTCTCTTTCAATGACTCCTAAGGCACAAAAATGTAGAAATACATTGGTTAGGGATCAGTCCATGAGTCAGCTATTAGCACATGACTCATGTTAGCACACTGGTTATTCTTTGATTTTTTGAAATAGGAAATCAGTATTAAACAAATTTGTTAATATGTTAAAATTCAAAAAGGTTTATGAATTCTTCAAGTGGCCAAGATTATGGAATTTCATTATGCGCAGGTACACTTTGTATTGCAGAGAAATAGAAATATATTATTTCAGAATATCAAGTGCTCTTTGGACAAAAAAGACAGTATTAGATCTTGTACTGGATAGAGCATAAAAGCACTAGACACTGAAAAAGACATAAACCAGCTTCAATTCTAGAGTAGGACGGCAACTGCCAGCTATATATTTTATAACTGTTAACTTATACATATGTTTTACATTCTCTATACGTTATCTTCTATTTCACACACAAAAAAATATAATGAAAATCTTGTAAGTTGAAATTTGTTTGAATATAGGAAAAATAAATAAACCGTAATAAACTATTAAGTTATCTCTTTCTTTTTTTTTTTTTTTTGAGACAGGATCTCGCTCTATTGCCCAAGCTGGAGGGGAGTGGTGCAATCTCGGCTCACTGTAACCTCTGCCTCCTGGGTTCAAGTGATTCTCCTGCTTCAGCCACCTGAGTAGCTGGGATTGCAGGTGTGCACCACCATGCTCAACTAATTTTTGAATTTTAAGTAGATACAGGGTTTCACCATGTTGGCCAGGCTGGTATCGAACTCTTGACCTCGAGTGATCCATCTGACTTGGCCTCCCAAAGTGTTGGGATTACAGGCAAGAGCCACTGTACCTGGCCTAGGAAATTCATTCTCATGCTACGCACAATAAATTGACAGACATTCAGCCTTGAGAGAAATATCAGCCTATTTTTCCACTTCAGCAGGTTTACTTTTTCCAAATTTGTTTTTCCAAATTATAAGTTGAATATTCCATTCTTGTGAGCAGAACCAAAAGGTCCCACAGAAAAATGGTTATAGATTTACTTAATCCATCTTAGTTAGAGTAAGAATGGGGAAAAAATATCACACAAAAAGAGATGAATCAGAATTTGCTTGTCATGATTGAGGTAATTTGTGCAGGTGAAATAAGAACACATCCACACAAGTACTCACCAAGACAGTTGCAGGTGGGCAGTTCAGAATCTTTAGTTACAGACACTAGGTTTTTTGTAGGGTTAGTAAAGAAGTTCATAGCATAATCATTAAAATTTTTCTGTGCACTGTCCACTGTGGAAAACTCTGATGTTCCAACACTGGATGAACACACTTCCTCTTCACTTTTGGTAGAAACCACTGTAATTCCACCTGAACACACTACATTTACATTCCTGAGAGTTAGTGCTGACTCCGGTAAGGGTGTTTCTTGAGAGATACCAGGCAAGGTTGGTAGTCTCTGATCCATGAGTTGCTCCTTAACAACCTGCTGAAACCGTATTTGGTCATCGCCTGCCATCACGTTAGCACACTGGTGAGGCGGAGAGGAGGGCTGGGTCAAAGGATGGGCTTTCTGATTGGCATTCACCGTTAACTGTACCTGAGAATTATAAGCTTTATCAGTGAATGCCTTCCCGTTGGATTCCGTTTTAAGATGAAATAAGCTGAGTGAATCCAATGGTTCAACCTTCATCTTTTCCTCTGCTGATTCAGGGTATCTCTGTAATTTTATCTGAGTGAGTGGAGGAAATACTGTTTTGGGTTGCATAATGGACCTCGTTTGAGCCAGTGGTTTCCATATTTTGGTTGAGGAAGAAATTTTCCCAAATACAGTAGGAAAATCATGGGGACAAAATTGCCCAAAATTCTGAAATTTTGATGCTATCCAAATGTCGCATATTGTGCCATACATATAGGACAACTTTTCCCACTTCTGCTGATCATTTTCTTGATAACTTACAACTGTGGGCTTCTTTTTCCGCCGTTCTCTTGATGGGGTGGATTTTGTCTTTTTCTGGGTTGGATTCTTTTGCTTTGTTAATGATGAACCATGATTATTGTGTACACTTGAAGGCGGTTTCTGTTGTATTGTGCCCTTCTCCTGATTGTATTTTTGCTGTGCATTACACGTGACAAGGCTTGTTGGTGTACTTTCAACATTTTTGTCCTCTGATTTTATGTAATTGAACTTAATTATTGAAGCAAGTTGTGTCAACTGTGTTGCAACGTCTTCCTCAATTTGAGTATGGGTTGCATCCTGACATGATAGATCATCTGAGTCCAAATTTTTGCTGCTGTCCAGTAACTGGTTGCAATACTCCACTTCATTATTTCTTGGTGGCAATTGATGCAAATCATTGGAACAATTGTCAAGAGTTATTATCCCTTGAGCAATACTTTTATTGGTGTCAATCTTGGGTGAATTTGATTTTGGTATAAAAAGAGATAATGAATTGGTGAGTTTTGAATATTCATGTGACTTTGTGGATGCTTGGTTAGTAGCTGAGCTGATATGTGAGTTGGCTTGCCCATTGAAAACCACCGTGTTGCATGAACTTTGTTTTTCCAAAGATGGACAGTGATGAAGTTTTTGTGGCTCTCCTTGTAAGTTTGGGTCTTGGAGGTCTTTTCTTACAGTGTAAAGGATAGCTTTGCAGCTATTAAGCAAACTGGCTGTTCTCTGCTCTGATTCTTCATCCTTCTCTGACTTTGATGGGGAGGAATTCTCTGACGGGGCTTCTGAGAGTTGAGTCAGGGCCTCTATGGCTACCACTTGCTCCAATGTTAATCTCCTATCTTTCATTAACGATAAGAGACTTGGTTGAACGGGAGATCCATCTTTTGGTTCTTTACTTGGTATATTCTCAGGAGTTTTTGGTTGATCACCTTCATTGTGTATACTAGCATGACGATGTATGTTGGAGTGTGAAGAATGTGGAATGGAATTGCAGTTAAAGCCAGGCTGCTGGAAAACTAAAACGTTACTTCTCCCCTTGAGATGATCACAACTCATATCAGTAGCAACGGAGCTCATAGCGTTATTATGGTTTGCAGTGTCTTTTGGGAATTTATAAGAACTGTTTTCCAATGTCTTGCCGAATTCTTCAATGTTGAATTTTTTAAATGAAACATTTGTTTCAGCTGGTAAATAGTGTACATGTTTAATGCCATTTCTTATGGTTTGTACAAACAATTTTGGAGATTTGGTTTGTTTCTTGTCAACTTCAGAGTTTTTCGATTTTTCAGCTTCTGGGACATTAGCACTAAAATCTCCTTTCACATGATCAGTTAAATGTGATTTCTTGTTTTGTGTCCACTTCTCCACCTCGATGCCTGTCATGCTGTCTTCATTTTTAGTTACATTTTCAACAGGATGTGGGTTCAATTCCAATTTTTGTTCTTCCCCATGACCACATCTACTGTAGTCCATGGATTCTGACTTGGGGCCATTTACTGGTTTGTTGTCAAAATCTGCCTGTAAAATACAGAAATTACTCATGTCATCTACTTAAATATCTGAATAACAGCCATAAGAAGATTAAAATGTAATAGCAAGTAAATGTAAAGCCCTTGTGGATACAGCCTAAAATATTATTTTCGCTTTTCACATGTTCAGTGAAGTCATAAAATACCAAAAGGGCATAATATACAAAAAGAAAAGACAACTAGGCTAGGCGTAGTGGCTCAACACCTATAATTCCAGCACTTTGGGAGGACAAGATGGGAGGATCGCTTGAGCCCAGGAGTTCAAGACCAGCCTGAGCAAGATGGTGAAACCCAGTCTCCAGCAAAAATACAAAAAAAGAATTAGTCAGGTATGGTGATGCACACCTGCAGCCCCAGCTACTCGGGAGGCTGATGGTGACAGCATCACTTCAGCACAGGAGGTGGAGGTTCCAATGAGCCAGAACTGTGCTACTACATTCCAGCCTGGGTGACAAAGTGAGACCTCTTCTCCAAGAAACAAAAGCAAAGGCCAGGGGTGATGGCTCACACCTGTAATCCCAGCACTTTGGGAGGCCGAGGTGGGCAGATCACGAGGTCAGGAGTTCAAGACCAGCATGACCAATATGGGGAAACCCTGTCTCTACCAAAACTACAAAAATTAGCAGGACGTGGTGTAGTCCCAGCTTCTTGGAAGGCTAAAACACAAGAATCGTTTGAACCCGGGAAACGGAGGTTGCAGTGAGCCAAGATCATGCCACTGTGCTCCAGCCTGGGCGACAGAGCAAGACTCTGTCTCAAACAAACAAACAAACAAACAAACAAAAACAAACCCCACAGAACTATCAAAATATCATACCTGCTAATATTTTGATGTGTTCATTTTTCCCCCAAATAGTATTTTTAAAGTTAAAAAAAAATTAAAATAAAAAGTTTCTTTGTAGAGACAGGGTCTTATTATGTTGCCCAAGCTGTTCTCTAACTTGTGGGCTCCCGCAATCCACTCACCTTGGCCTCCAAGTAAAAATTTAAACTAGGCCACGTCTGTACTTGACCTAGGAGGCAGAGGTTGCAGTGAGGCGAGATTGCTCTACTGCACTCAGGCCTGGTGACAGAGCAAGACTCCATCTCAAAAAATAAAAAATAAATAATAATTTAAAAAATTTAAACTATAGGCTGGGCCCAGTGGCTCATGCCTATAATCCCAGCACTTTGGGAGGCTGAGGCAGGCAGATCACAAGGTCAGGAGTTTGAGACCACCCTGGCCAATATGGTGAAACCTCATCTCTACTAAAAATACAAAAAAAATTAGCCAGGCATGGTGGTAGGCACCTATAGTCCCAGCTAATCGGGAGGCTGAGGCAGGAGAATCCCTTGAATCTGAGAGGTGTTGGTTGCAGTGAGCCAAGATTGTGTCATTGCACTCTAGCCTGGGTGACTGAGTGAGACTATCTCTTAAAAAAACAAAAAACAAGCCAGGCGCGGTGGCTCAAGCCTGTAATCCCAGCACTTTGGGAGGCTGAGACGGGTGGATCACGAGGTCAGGAGATCGAGACCATCCTAGCTAACACGGTGAAACCCCGTCTCTAATAAAAAATACGAAAAAATAGCCGGGCAAGGTGGCGGGCGCCTGTAGTCCCAGCTACTCGGGAGGCTGAGGCAGGAGAATGGCGTGAACCCGGGAGGCGGAGCTTGCAGTGAGCTGAGATCCGGCCACTGCACTCCAGCCTGGGCGACAGAGCGAGACTCCGTCTAAAAAAAAAAAAAAAACAAACAACAACAACAACAAAAAAATCCACAATTTAAACTACTTTTACATCAGTAATGTTCATTAGACAATATCTATTTTATTTATTTTTATTATATGTTTTAATTAATTATTTTTTTTTTTCAGACAGAGTCTTGCTCTGTTGCCCAGGCTGGAGTGCAGTGGTATGATCTCAGACCACCGCAACCTCTGCCTCCTGGGTTCAGGCAATTTTCCTCCTCAGCCTCCCAAGTAGCTGGGATTACAGGTGCCCGCCACCACACCCAGCTAATTTTTGTATTTTTAATAGAGATGGGTTTCACCATGTTGGCCAGGCTGACCACTGGTGATCTGCCCACCTCAGCCTCCCAAAGTGCTGGCATTACAGGTGTGAGCCACCGTGCCTGGACATACCTATTATTTTGACACAAACTGTTTTCAAATAGAACATACACATAGAAAGGTGTACAAATCACAAGTATACAGCTTTTTAAATTTTCACAAAATGAGTTGTTAAGTATACTTATAGTCCATTCTCATTGTATAGTAAGTTCACTGATTAAATACATAACAAGGTTATCATTCTTTCTGCTGGACATGGGCATTGGGTTATTTTTAGTGTTTGGGTCTTTAAAGTAACTGCTATAGTTTCAATTTCCTTCCTTCCTCCCTCCCTCCCTCCCTCCTTCCTTTCTCAGGGTCTCACTCTGTCAAAGGAAGGAGTGAGTGCAGTGGCACAATCATGGTTCACTGCGGTTTCAACCTCCCAGGCTTACATGTTCCTCCTAGCTCAGCGTCCCGAGTAAGCTGGGACCACAGGTACGTACCACCATGTCTGGTTAATTTTTTTGTATTTGTTGTGGAGACAGGATATCACCATGTTGCCCAGGCTGGTCTCAAAACTCCTGGATTCAAGTGGTCTGCTCACCTTGACCTCCCAAAGTGCTGGGACTACATGCACGAGCCACTGCACCCAACCTAATTTTTCTTATTGAGATGAATTTACATGACATGAAATCCATCACTTTACAGTTGAAAAGTATACAATTCAGCTGGGCGTGGTAGCTCATACCTGTAATCCCAGCACTTTGGAAGGCCTAGACAAGCGGATCACCTGAGGTCAGGAGTTCAAGACCAGCCTGGCCAACATGGCAAAACCCTTCTCTACTAAAAATACAAAAATTAGCTGGACGTGGTGGCGGGTGCCTGTAATCCCAGCTACTCAGGAGGCTGAGGCGGGAGAATCGTTTAACACGGGAGGCAGAGGTTGCAGTGAACCAAGATTATGCCATTGTACTCCTGCCCCGGCAACAAGAGTGAAACTCAGAAGAAGAAGAAAGAAGAAGAAGGAGAAGGGGAAGGGGAAGAAGAAGAAGAAGAGGAGGAGGAGGAGGAGGAGGAGGAAGAAGAAGAAGAAGGAGAAGAAGAAGAAGAAAAGTGTACAATTCAGTGGTTTTTAGTTTATTTGTACTGTTATGCAACCATAGCCATTCTCTACTTCCAGAGCATTTTCAAAACCCCAAAGAGAAATGCTGTGCCCTGTTTAAGCAATAGCTCTCTATTCCCTCCTCTAATCCTTATTTATCTACTGTCTTTTCTTTTTTTTTTTTTTTGAGACAAGGTCTCACTCTGTTCCCCAGGCTGGAGTGCAGTGGCACGATAACGGCTCACTGTAGCCTCGAAGTCCCAGGCTCAAGTTATCCTTCTACCTCACCCTCCTGAGTAGCTGGGTCTACAGGCGCCTGTAACCATGTCTGGTTAATTTATATTTTTCCTATTTTTTGTAGCGACAGGGTCTCTCTATGTTGCCAAGCCTGATTTTGGAGTGCTGGGCTCAAGCAAGTCTCCTGCCTCAGCCTCTAGAGAAGCTGCGACTACAGACTAATTTTGAAAAACCTTGAAACAGCTCATCAGACATACCACAGGAATTGAGACAGTGGAGTGTTTCCATTGATATTAATTGTAAAAAGAATGATAACTCCAATTACACAGTATATACACATTTGAAAACTTCATATTGTACACGATAAATATATACAATATTTCTTTGTAAATTCAGTAAAAGAATGAATGAAAAAACAATGAGCCAGGTGCAGTGGTATGAACCTGTAGTCCTACCTGCTGGGTAGGCTGAGGTTAGAGGATCCCTTGAGACTGGGAGTTCAAGGCTGCAGTGAGATACTATTATGCCACTGTTCCCCAGCCAGGTTAAAAAAATGAGACACCATCTCAATAAATAAATAAATAGGCCGAGAGCAGTGGCTCATGCCTGTAATCACAGCACTTTGGGAGTGCAAGTGGATCACGAGGTCAGATAGAGACCATCTTGACCAACATGGTGAAACCCCGTCTCTACTAAAACACACAAAAAAATTAGCCAGGCATGGTGGTGCACGCCTGTAGTTCCAAGTACTCGAGAGGCTGAGGCAGGGGAATCGCTTGAACCTGGGAGGCAGAGACTGCAGTGAGCAGAGATCACACCACTGCACTCCAGCCTGGTGACAGAGCGAGAATCCGTCTCAAAAAAATTTAAAAAATTAAAAAATGGTAATCTCTTGGGAATAGGAGACCACTAGACTAGGTTGCCTAAGGAGATGTGAACTGGCCGAGGTCACAAACATAGAAATTCAACACTATAACTGATCAGTGATGGAATCACTGCACTCCAGCCTGAGCAACAAAGTGACACCCTGCCTCTTAGGCAGGAGAATCACTCGAACCCAGGAGGCAGAGGTTGTGATGAGCCAAGATTATGCCATTGCACTCTAGCTTGGGCAGTAAGAGTGAAACTTCATCTCAAAAAAAAAAAAAAAAAAAAAAGAACAAAAATGCCTAAGATTAAACAGATTATCATGTTGCCAAAAGACACACTGTTTACACCAAGGTTCAGCAAACTTTTCTGTAAAGGGTCAGATAGTAAATATTTTAGGCTTCATGTGCCATACAACCTGTCACAATTACTCCTGTTGTATCTAGTAAGCAGCCTCACAAATATTATGCAAACCAATGAGTGTGGTAGTATTGCAATAAGTCTATTTATGGACACTAAAATGCAACCATCATATAAATATTACATGTCACACACATACACAAGAGATGTAAGAAAAAGAATATTTAGGCCGGGCGTGGTGGTTCATGCCTGCAATCCCAGCACTTTGGGAGGCCAAGGTGGGCAGATCAGAGGTCAGGAGATCAAGACTATCCTGGCTAACACGGTGAAACCCTGTCTCTCCTAAAATACAAAAAATTAGCCGGGCATGGTGGCGGGCGTCTATAGTCCCAGT